CGCTTCAAAATGGTACCGAGTTTGTCCAGATCCATCCAGGTTAAGGTACCTTCAGGCTGCGATACATGGGAGCCAGGCGGGTTGGCGCTGACAGGCCTCCCTATGGGACTTACTGCACAAAAGCGAAAGAAGGGCATCCGCTGCTACTTCTGGGATTTTCTCCAAAAGTTTCGGGTCTATCGACCTGCCGATTTGCATGCGGGTTGGCCCATTCATCCGCTTCAAAATGGTACCGAGTTTGTCCAGATCCATCCAGGTTAAGGTACCTTCAGGCTGCGATACATGGGAGCCAGCGGGTTGGCGCTGACAGGCCTCCCTATGGGACTTACTGCACAAAAGCGAAAGAAGGGGCATCCGCTGCTACTTCTGGATTTTTTCTCCAAAAGTTTCGGGTCTATCGACCTGCCGATTTGCATGCGGGTTGGCCCATTCATCCGCTTCAAAATGGTACCGAGTTTGTCCAGATCCATCCAGGTTAAGGTACCTTCAGGCTGCGATACATGGGAGCCAGGCGGGTTGGCGCTGACAGCCCTCCCTATGGGACTTACTGCACAAAAGCGAAAGAAGGGGCATCCGCTGCTACTTCTGGATTTTTCTCCAAAGTTTCGGGTCTATCGACCTGCCGATTTGCATGCGGGTTGGCCCATTCATCCGCTTCAAAATGGTAAAGCGTAGTTGGTCCAGATCCATCCAGGTTAAGGTACCTTCAGGCTGCGATACATGGAGCCAGCGGGTTGGCGCTGACAGGCCTCCCTATGGGACTTACTGCACAAAGCGAAAGAAGGGGCATCCGCTGCTACTTCTGGGATTTTCTCCAAAAGTTTCGGGTCTATCGACCTGCCGATTTGCATGCGGGTTGGCCCATTCACCGCTTCAAAATGGTACCGAGTTTGTCCAGATCCATCCAGGTTAAGGTACCTTCAGGCTGCGATACATGGGAGCCATGCGGGTTGGCGCTGACAGGCCTCCCTATGGGACTTACTGCACAAAAGCGAAAGAAGGGGCATCCGCTGCTACTTCTGGATTTTCTCCAAAGTTTCGGGTCTATCGACCTGCCGATTTGCATGCGGGTTGGCCCATTCATCCGCTTCAAAATGGTACCGAGTTTGTCCAGATCCATCCAGGTTAAGGTACCTTCAGGCTGCGATACATGGGAGCCATGCGGGTTGGCGCTGACAGGCCTCCCTAATGGGACTTACTGCACAAAAGCGAAAGAAGGGGCATCCGCTGCTACTTCTGGACTTTTCTTCCAAAAGTTTCGGGTTCTATCGACCT